ACATAAGGCCCTCCCTTCGTTCCTTTGTTTTTCCTCAAAGGGCTTCCTCTTTACTCCTCTCTTCTTCAGACAAATGGTCCATGTGGTGGTTTCATGTGGTCCCGGCCTCGAATGAACTAATCAAAACATATTTTTAAAAACTTTGAGAGCATCACAGGAAACATGCAAAAGATGTCATTTATTTACTGTCTCCATTTGATTGTCTTTTTCTCTTCCAGATATGGCAGTAAACTCTTCCTCCAACAACTCCCTTCATAGCATTTTCTCTTCGGACATTTATTGCTACATCACCAGACCAAGCTCCCAAATCTTTGCCACATACTTCTTCATCCATATCCTCCTCGTCCTCTCTCTCTGCATCTTCGTACTCTACCTGGGTCTCCAACGATGGCGGCGACAGCGCTCCACCTCCACAGCAGCAAAGACAAGCCACTCAGACATCTTCACCTACCACATGGTCACCATGGAGCTGATTGGTGTCACAGGGAGCATCCTCTGCTGCTGTGGTATCATTTTGGATAATGCTTATATATTGTACGTGGGTTTTATTCCTTGGTCCTTCACCTGGTATGGAGAGACTTTCTTCCACATCCTGACCTGTGTGGATCGCTACCTGGCTGTTGTTCATTCCTTCACCTACCTGAGCCTGAGAGGAGAGAGAGGGATCAGAATCAGAAACTTCAGCACAGGGTGTGTTTGGCTGCTTTGCTGTGGAGCAACAAGTCTAATTAATGAAAACAGCTCCTTATTTGGGGATTTCTGCCTCTTGATTTTCTCTATGATCATCGTGTCCTTCTGCAGCTTCTCTGTTCTGTACGTTCTGAAGCGTCCAGGGCCAGGGGAACAGGGTGGGGACAGGGAAAGAGTTGACGAGTCAAAGCGGAGAGCTTTCTACACCATCATGGCCATACTGGGAGTGCTGCTGTTGAAGTGTTTATCAAATCTGATTTGGACTGTTTTTCACATGTTCATGGAAATTGAGTGTGTGATAACAGCAGTTGAGCTCTGGCTTAATCTCCCCAGCAGTCTGGTGTTACCTCTGCTGTTTCTACACAGGGCAGGAAAATTAGCGTGCTGTAAGAACAACTAATGAGGAAAAGGATTAGGTTTGTATTAAAGGAAATCATTTCTGATACCAGCAAGCAATTGGCTATATATCCTCCTGAAACCCTGTGTCCTCATACGAGGACGTCACATTTTGGGTTTACTTTACCTTGTGCCTCATTCTACTTAAAGGGATAGTGCACCCAAAAATGAAAATTCAGCCATTATCTACTCACCCATATGCCGATGGAGGCCCTGGTGAAATTTCCTCACAAGTCCTCACATCCCTTGTGGAGATCGGCGGGGGGAATAGCTAGCACACCTAATGGCTGACGGCGCCCCAGACTAACGTCCAAGAACACAAAATTGAATCCACAAAGTATCTCCATACTGCTCATCCGTAGTGATCCAAGTGTCCTGAAGCCGCGACATAAAAAATTGTTTCGAAAAACGTCATTTGAACTCTGTTTTTAGCCTCACTGTAGCCTGTAGCTCTGACTGCTTCTCTGTGCTCCGTGCTCACGTGTGTGCATTTGCACGAGACCAGCGAAAGCATGAGCTTTGCTTACCCGTGTTTACATCATGTAAAAAACAAGATGGCAGCCATCTCTGCCAAGTCAGTCTGCAGCCGATCTCAACACAAAAGTGGACAAGGTCCAAAACCTGATCACATGTTATGGTTGAAACTAGTTTATTTATGATGAATAATGTTTGTAGTTTGACATGTCAACAAATTTGACCAATTGTAGCAACAGTACAAGCTATGACACTGTTAATTAGGAAGTACTTGTTTGAAGACACTGGGACTTAATTATCGTCTCGTTTGAGGACATTGGGACTTTATTATAATTGACAATTTTTAGTTTTTTACACTTATCAGGTCCTACTGATCCCAAACAGCTAGAAGAAATGCTAAAACAAAAGTTCAGGTCTCAGGAGGTTGAAGATCCACTGGTTTGCTTTCTTCCTACGCCTGACAAAATGTGTGTGTGAGTGTGTTTATGTTATGACCATAGTCCCAAACCTCACCTATGTTCATGAGCTCTGGGTAGTGACTGAAAGAATGAGGTTTCAGATACGAGTGGCCGAAATGACTTTCTTCTGTGGGATGGCTGGGCTCAGCCTTAGAGATAGGGTGAGGAGCTCAGACATCCGGAGGGAGCTCGGAGTAGAGCCGCTGCTCCTTCACACTGAAAGGGAGTCCGTTGGTTCGGGCATCTGATCAGGATGCCTCCTGTGAGCCTCCTGATGGAGGTGTTTCAGGCATGTTCCACTGGTAGGAAGCCCCGGGGCAGACCCAGAACATGCTGGGGGGATTATATATCTCATCTGGCCTGGGAACATGTTGGGGTCCCCCAGGAGGAGCTGGAAAGCATCGCTGGGGAGAGGGACATTTGTGGTGCTTTGCTTGGCCTGCTGTCCCCGCGGCCCAGGCTTGGATAAACAGATGAAAATGGGTGGATGTTTATGTTATGTTCCTCCGGTAACTAAACATGATTATTTTCTCTTTAACCCTCAGGGGACTCAGGGTATTGTGATAATTTTGGCATTTTCACTGGTTCTCTGATTTATTTAAGTCAAATATAAACACAAGTTTATATTTTATATTTTAAGTTTATTCCATATATTCAAACTTCCATTCCGTGTATAATTGTATTTTCAAATTTCATTCCATGTCTTAAACTTCCGTGGCATGTATTTGAAGTATTTAGACTTTCATTCCATATATTCTAACTTTATATGATATATCCCAACTCTCATTTTATATATTGAGGCTCTTTTCATATATTCCAACTTGTATTCTATATATAATTATACTTTCAAATTTCATTTTATGTCTTTAAATTTGGCATGTATTTAAAGTATTTAGACTTTCATTCTGTCTTTTCCACTTTCATTCCATATATCCAGACTTATTTGATATATGCCAACTTTCATTTCATATATTGAGGTACATTCCGTATATTCCAACTTTCATTCTGTGTATTATGAATTTAATTCCGTCTAATTCATTTCATTCCATATATTCAACATTTCATTCCATAAATGCAACATTTCATTCCATATATTCAGAGTTCATACCATATATTCAAACATTCGTTCTATATAAATGTATTTTCAAATTTCATTCCATGACTTTAATTTAATTTAAAGTATTGAGACTTTCATTCCATTTGTTCAAAGTTCATTCCATATATTCCAACTTTAATTGATATATTCCAAATATCAGTTTATATATTCCGGTTAATTCCATATATTCCAACTTTCATTCAGTATATTCTGAATTTCATTCCTTGTTATTTGTTTCATTGCATATATTCACAATTTCATTCCATATATTCAAACTTTCAGTCAATATGTAGTTATATTTTAAAATTTAACTCCATGTTTTTGCCTTTTATTGCATGTATTTAAAGTTACATTTTCATTCCATTACATTTCATATATTCCAAATTTCATTCTGTATATTCTGACCTTCATTTCTTGTGATTTGTTTCATTCCATATATTCACAATTTCATTCCATATATTCAAACTTTAATTGATATATTCCAAATTTCAGTTTATATATTCAGGTTCATTTCATATATTCCAACTTTCATTCAGTATATTCTGAATTTCATTCCTTGTGATTTGTTTCATTCGGTATATTCACAATTCCATTCCATATATTCAAACTTTCAGTCTATATGTAGTTATTTTCAAATTTATTTCCATGTCTTTACCTTTTATCGCATGTATTTAAAGTTAAAGTTAGATTTTCATTCCATTACATTCCATGTATTCCAAATTTTATTCTGTGTATTCTGACCTTCATTCCTTGTGATTTGTTTCATCCCATATATTCAATATTTTATTCCATATATTGTGACCGTCATTACATTAAACACAAACATTTAATGCTTTTCTGAATGGTATGCAATAATATACATTCTTGTGGAGAGGTTTGACTTACAGTACTGTACAATACATGAAACAAATAGATATGATTAAAATAACGCAACTATGCAAAACAGACTCTATTTCATTTGAATGCTCAACAGACTATGTCTTCACATAATTTGAATTTTGTTAGGTGTCCATCTAATGAACTGATGAAAGAAACCATAGTTGGACTGATGTTGTGGTATAAATTCTTTAGGCATAAAGGAATGTTTGCATTGTTATGATTTGGTCATTTTTGAGGCCTTAGAGTACTTCACACTGGGCAGGCCTTATGTGAGAACACTCTTGGTGTCTAGAGGTAAAACAGAAGATGGGCACCATTTAAAGCTCAGTGAAATGGAAGTGGACTTTAAGTTTTTGGTATGACTGCGTCCATGATTACATGCTGTGTCCATGATCTTCTCTGATTTGTGTTGACATTTGTGTTGTAATAAGCATAGTTAGCAGTTAATAAACAGTTAGGAAGACAATACTTTTTATGCAATGTCTTTTCAGTAATGGTAATTACTTTTCGGCATGGATAGACTCAAAGATCTTTTCTTTTCAATTGACTTGTGATTCATTTGCACAAACTATTTGCGTTTGGTCTGAAAAGACTTTAAGAACTATGATTGTTCCTTTTTCTTTCAGTGCGGACAAAGAAGGTTCTTAAAACTCTACAAAAAGGTTCAACCAGTCCAAACCCCCCTACAATACATATGAATATCTTTGCAGAGTATATACTGTAGAGATTTGCCTTTGGCATTAAATGGATATTATTTAAATGCTATACATGCATGTATTTTACACCATATATGGTACATAAGTAAAGCAGATGATCTGGCATTACAGAGTGATTGCACAGGAATTGTTTTGAGACCTGACATTTCTGATTTGGCTGTTCATGAATGCAATGCTTCCTGGTGAGACGATGCAAAGCAGTTAATGACTCTATTTCAAGGGTCATCAACTACATTTTTCCGAGGCCAGAATGTTTCTAAGCAGACACTGTGGGGACCAACGTTCAAATTATATTAGATTTGAATGCACAGCAGCCTTTGTTTTCACATTATTTGAATTCTGTCATGTCTCCATCTAATGGACCGATAAAATAGACTACAGCTGCATCGATGTTGATGAATGCATGATTTGTGCATTGTCATGATTGGGTTATCTGAGAGGCCTCTTTCACACTGTGCAGGCTGTATGTGAGGAGAGTCTGGAGGTGAAACATGAGATGAAGATCTTCCAGATGTTCCCACTGCTTTGATAAACAAGGACGAAAAACAGTCGTTACACACATCGTCAACCCCCCATCATGTTAAGTAATTTTCATAAAATTTATCAACTGAATTTTTAAGCATTTACAAGTTGATTTACAACCAACAACATAAATGAAATGACAATGACTTCTTGAATTTTAAGGATCCACAAATAGTTTAGCCGAATCACAACAATATTTGTAAAGTATATGACACCCACTATCTTTAACTCGCTAATTCAGATCAAGTCTCCACGTATACAGGGATGTATGAAAACATAGTTTTTTGGCCATTCGTCCAGTCTAGAACTGCCTTGTACATCTGTACACAATTCCTGGAAGCTGAAAACCAGTTCTTGCATGACCTGCATACTCACCAGGCATGTCATCCATTGAGCATGTTTGCAGTGCTCTGGGTCGGCGTATAACCACTTCCTGCCAACATCCATCAAATTTGCACAGCCATTGAAAAGGAGTGGACCAACATTCCCAAGGCAACCATCAACAACCTGATCAACTCTATGTGAAGGAGATGTGTCACACTGCACAAGGCAAATAGGATACTGACTCACTTTATACGGCATCTCTGTAACATTAGTCGTGAGAAATCTGAATGAAAGTCTTTTCTTTAAAGGTCAAACTGCAGATTAAAGAGTGGCCTTTTATTGTGACCAGCCCAAGACACACCTGTTTGTAATCAGGCAGCTTAATCAGCATTTTGATATGCCACACCTGTCTGTTGGAAGGATCATCTTGGAATAAGAGAGGTGCTCACTTTTAACAAACTTGCACCCATTATTTTGGAGAAATACATCTTTTGTGTGCATAAAAAACAGTTTTAGATCTTGAAGTTGAACCTGTGAAAAAGAGACCAAACTACAGCTTTTCCACATCACATGTATGTTGCAAAATCAAAAATTCTGACCAATGTCTTCTTTTACAACACATTAAAAATTATGGACACAAATTCAGTAAGGCAACTATGTAATAATTCAAATAAAGGATTAAATCTGGGAATATATTCTCCACTTCAGCTGTTACTCTAAGTGTTTATTTATCAATAAGATATTCATTGTGGGTACATTTGTCTTTGCTACTTTTGTTGTTTTATTCAAATAACACATTTGAATGTAAATCTAATTTACTGAGGCAGAGAGGTGAGGTGCTGTGATTTACAATCAGTTCAGTATATTTGGATCAGATACTCAGACACAGGAGTCCACAGTTGGAGGAAAATCAGAAACAAATACTGATAAGGTTGGTGTTAATATTACTTTTTTAATATCATCATCATATTCTTAAATCCAAATTAGTGTAGACGACTGAAACTGACAGAAAACAAGCTTTAGGGGTTCCTCTAAAGATTTTGTTTTTTATCTTCTTCTTTTTTCTGTATGCTTATTGTTGTAATAGGCACAGTATCTCCATGAACCCCTTTTAACTTCCAACCACAATGTTTAGACCTCTTAATATTTTTTCCTGTCTTTTCTATACATATTTTTGTGTAAATAAACTAAACTAAACGTCCCGACAGAAACTTTAAAGGGGAACATGAAGGTCCATTTACTCATCATGGTTGGTACCACTCATCCTGCATGTGCAAACAGATTTATAATGTCGCTCTGGAGGAGCTTTTAGGCTTGAGACTACAAATATTCTGGGATGGACACATAACATAACACATTGAATTTATTTTTGTTACTATAACAAAGTTGTTAGTGTTGTTTGCGTGTACTCCTACAATTTTCAGTTTTTAAAAAAATCTGTTATTTTACTTTGAAGTATTTTAAACCCGAATTTCACTTTGATACATTTCAAGTTACATCTGTTACCGAGTAAAAACAAACGTCACATGAATGAGTCCTGATAAACTGTGTGAGAATGGAACAAAAGAGAGGAGATATATCAGCTGCAGTCACACCTGTGCCAGGCCACATATGTAGCATCCTCGATACGATATTATCACGATTCAATATTGTTGCCATTTTAAATATGTTGTGATATGCTGAGTGTCGCGATAAATGATATTGTGATATATTCCAATTACTTTTACCTAAGTAAATTTTGTACACAAGCACTTGTAGTTTTACTTGATAAAAATGTCTTTACATTAACAGTGCTTTTACATGAGCAGAATATTCTGGTACTTTTTCTACTTTTGCACATTTCTTACTGAAGGTAAGTGTCATAAAGCAGGGGGCTTTAACTTTGAAGTTGCATCATGGGAAAAATAGGATCCAGCTATTTGATCCTTGAATCCCAAGTCAGGATGTCTTGGCTTTTGCTGCACAGATTCTGATGTGTTTTCAAATCTGTCTATCTATCACTGGAATACACAGGTTAATATAGGTACATTAGGGCAGCTTTAATTGAATTTGTAAGACACTATCACATATGAATCAATATTCTGTTTCTGCATTGCCTATTTCTCACCTCGAATGTCCAGAAACATATTTTAGTGTACTGTTTAGCTGTAAAATGAGAAAGCTGGTTGTATGGAGGGCAGGACTTTGGTTGACTATTTCCAACTTGGCGGCCGAACTTTTTCAATTTACAGCTAAATGCCAAAAGAAGCAGTAGAAAGAGGAGTGACAGAATGTTTTTCACAGGATATTTACTTTCAGGATATAATGATAGTTTTTTTTATAAATGTCTAAATGTGTTTAGCATCAAAGCATTTACACGTTGAATGACTCCCAACAACAAAAATTAAAGTAATGCAAATGACAATGACTTCTTGAACTCAAAGGATCCAGATGTTTCAAGGTTTTCTCTGGCCTTTCATCCACTCGAAAACTGCTGGTTTTCAGAAACTCATGTGACATGTAGACAGGAAAAGCAGTGTTTTTGGTTTGACACACCTGACGTTGCTCCATTATTTCCTTTTTGAGGCGCCAGAAGTGAACATGACCCAAATGGTGCTGGCACTAACCTTACAAAAACAACTTTTTCCATGTTTACATGTAAATGTACAGATGTTCTTCCACTATATTTGAGGAACAAAAGCATCAGAATGTGTTAAGCCTAGTTCACGTTACATGATTTTCACCGTGATTTTGACGTCACAAAGGATCTTGAGAGCCACCTTGGGTCGGAGGTGAGTCGGCAGATAGTCTGCCACGACGAGTCCTCATGTGTGAACAAGCCTACAAACAAGTCGCCCCCTCGTCTGTGACTGGGATTGGATATCTGGCATGCTAGAAAACTGGAGAAGTCTGACACGACTGACAAAGAGCATCAGCCAATGAGAGGCCGGATACAGTACGTCCCATGTCAGCACGCAGGAGGACGGAAGAAATGTGAGGAGGACAAGCCACACGGTTGCCAGGTCTGCTTATTAGCCGCGACTTTGGGCTTGTTTTTTGTAAAGTTGCTTACAAATATTAGTAGTCACGGGTTGCATTTTTTTGGGCTTGCTCTCTAAACGTCGCCTTTCTCTCTATATATACATATATATGCATCACTTCTTTTGGGCTTGTTTCCATAGCCCTGGTTGCTTGTTTCTCTCCCAAGATCTTGCAACACTGACAAGCCGGCAAGCAACAACAACAATGGCGGCGTCCACAGGATCCCGGGGAGCTTGTTGTGTTTAGACCCAGGCCCTGGAGGCAGATCTGATTCAACACTGGGAAGAATATCCATGCCTTTACGATGTGTCGTCTCCAAGTTAATAAACGTAGTTTGGTGACTTCACTGCGTTATCTGGGGCTCTGTCGGCGAGGGCTCGGTGGAGAAATCTTGTGGTGTGCACACAGGTCGTAACGCAGTTGGCGAGACTCCCGCTGATAGAAACACACGTCGCCAGGTATGAACGCCCAAAAGATTATGATAGTCTTCGCGACGCAAAATCAGGGTGAAAATCGTGTAATGTGAACTAGGCTTTACTGACATCACTGCTCGATGTAGACTTCTGGAAACAGCTAGTTTTTAAGGATTTCTGATTGGCTATCACCTAGAACTTTGCATGTTTTTGGGTTAGGGTATATCGACCTGTTGGTTCGACACGCTCCTCACAGTGCTTCAGTTGTACTTTTGTGTAAAATCCCTCTTTTAGGACTGATAGATATGCAAAACATGCAATTAATATGTTTTCTCCATTTTCCTCTTCCAGATATGGCAGGAAACTCTTCCTCTTCCAATGACTCCATTCTTCATTCTAACTTTCCTGTGGTCATACTTTGCCTCTTCACCAGACCAGGCTCCTTAGTTTATACTGCATTAAATATCACAAACATCCTCCTCCTCCTCCCTCTCTGCATCCTCGTCCTCTACCTGGGTCTCCAACGATGGCAACGACAGCGCTCCACCTCCACAGCAGCAATGACGAGTCACTCAGACAGCTTCACCTACCACATGGTCGCTATGCAGCTGATTCGTGTCGTAGGGTGCACCGTCTGCTTCTGCGCTATCATCTGGGGTCATGTCATTACATTCTATGCCGGGTACTTTCTTCGAGTCTTCACCTGGTATGGAGAGTTGTGCTTCCACAAACTGACCTGTGTGGAGCGCTACCTGGCCGTCGTTCATCCCGTCACCTACCTGAGCCTGAGAGGAGAGAGAGGGATGAGAATCAGAAATATCAGCATTGGGTGTGTGTGGCTGTTTTGTGTTGGAGCAGCAAGTCTGATAACTGAAGGGAACTTGGTATCTGTGGATTTCTGCCTCATGACCTTCTCAGTGATCGTCATCGCCTTCTGCAGCCTTTCTGTTCTCCGCGTTCTGATTCGTCCAGGGCCAGGGGAACAGGGCGGGGACAGGGAGAGAGTTGACGAGTCAAAGCAGAGAGCTTTCTACACCATCGTGGCCATACTGGGAGTGCTGCTGTTGAAGTGTTTTGGAAGTCTATTTGTGGTTGTTTTTCATACGTTGGGGGTAAATGAGTGTGTGATATTGACATTAGTTGACCACTGGTTTAATCTCCCCAGCAGTCTGGTGTTACCTCTGCTGTTTCTACACAGAGCAGGAACATTAGCGTGCTGTAAGAACAACACCTAATGAGGATAAGGATTAGACTTGCTTTAAATCACTTCATACAAGTAAGCAATTGCCCTCTTTAAACATCTGCTGGTCTGGCCTCCACCAACTCCTGAGGAAAATATACAGTGTGTTAATGCAATTTAAATGAGACCTCTCTGTTGGGTGTTATCAATGACTGTAAACCAAAATCCCTCTGGATGCAATTTAATTGATATACGACCAATCTGAGCAATGAAATATGACTTAGCGCTGAACAACGGACAAATGCTAATGGACTACAGCGAGCAGAGATGAGCTTTGTCTGTGAACCAGGGCCGTTGTTGGCAACTTGGGGGGTCCTACGCGCAAGCTGCTTTTGTGATTGTTGCAGCCTGAGTGCGCAACTTTACAGATGTGATGCAGACTTCATTATTATAAGCATTCACAGCATTATTTGTTTAACTAAGTAGTTTTTTTTACCATTAAATTACAGTTGTTTTTTTGATACTGTTTTACAAAAACAGAATCCCATGATGGAAATGGGTTTGCCTTTTTGAGGGGATAAATAGAAAATCACACCATTATTTAGTTAATGTGAGTTCTTTTAACACAGGTGTATTTCCAGGTAGCTATCAGCCGCCCCCCACCCAGATCAGCTCTGCCCTCAGGACTTCAGGTCAACAGACTATGATATGATCCATGTTAAGGTCGCTTAGCAACCTCAG